TTGTAAACATATATATGACAAAAATTTTAAGTCAGGTAGCTAATTATATGCATATAATTCCAGAATAATTTTTTAATTTAATTACTATTTGTTATTTATATTAATTGAATAAAAAAACAAATAAAATTCCTTATTTCATTTAAAATAAAGAAAGAATATAAAGAATAAAGAAAAAATATAAATTTTAGGTCGATAACATTGATAATAAATAGAGTTTTAAAAAAAGGAAAATCTTATCCTAAAATTCTGAAACGCAAAACCAACAATCCAACATATTCCAAGATTAATTCAATTTAGTCTTGGAAAAATTTCGTAATTTATGATCTTTGTACTTGGATAATATGAATTAGCTTATTACCATTTAAATGATCACGAGCGTGGTTTAATATTTCACTGGATTTAAAATAAACAACAATTCTACCCCTCCCCCCCCCCAAATGACTGCAGCAGAAGAGAAAATAAAATATTTGAAAAAATAAATTTATTTATGTTTTTTGAAGACTTCAACTTAAGCTTTTAGCAGTTAGCCGAAAGAAAATGTAAGATATTCAAAATTATGCAATAAATTAAATTATACCTCATATAATGCATATATGAGGCTTTTAGTTTCAAAATCAGATGGATCAACTATGGGAATTACCTCAAACATTATATATTAAAGAAACTGTGTTGTGCATTCATAAGTAAAGCATATATGAGGTTTTTAGTTTCAAAATCAGATCGATTAACTACGGGAATTATCTCAAACATTATATATTAAAGAAACTGTGTTGTGCATTCATAAGTAAAGCATATATGAGGTTTTTAGTTTCAAAATCAGATCGATTAACTATGGAGATAATCGTGAAAAACCTAATGCAATAATCAACTATAGGATTAATTGTGAAAAACGTTTCACTCTAGCGTGAAAGGAATTAACTTGTTTGACCTATAGGATTTAAAATTATTTATAATTGAAGAAAAAAAAACTTTTTGATGAGACTGTCTAACGAAAAAGCCATAGAAGTCGAAGCCTAACAGGCTTAAAAAAAATACTTTTCTATTTTAATTCGCATCTTTAAATTCTGCCACAATTTTCTCATTGGTTACCCATTGGCAAAATAGTTGTTGTCTAATTGTTTTTTGGAAAAGCAACTGTTGTGTTTTCATCTTGGGCATCTTTAACTGTTAATCCAGAACTGCTCGGTACACAATTTCGCAGACGTATTTGAATGCAGCTCAGACATATTCTGTGTAAATTCTTTTGATGACTGAATAGACATTGAACAGCCAATCCAGATCAATATTAACATTTTCGGATTGGTACAATGGTGTTTGAATATTGTAATTTCGGATTGGTACAATGGTGTTTGAATATTGTAATTTCGGATTGGTACAATGGTGTTTGAATTTGGGGATCGTAAGCTGCATCATACACCCGTTTCGGATTCACAAGTTCATACATGAAATATGATTTGAAAGCTAGGCTTTTTTTCAATTTTACATGAATAGTGAATGAATCATTCTCATATTGCATGGAATACATTGCGTGGAAGACAGTCTACGGTCTTGTGGTAGTCATTGGGTACGTTGACAATAAATCCTTGTATCTATAACTGATGATCAACACCCAGTTCTCGTATTTGCATGAAAGGGGTTCGGAGAGCCACCATTCGCTCTTTGGTAAGGTTCAATTCTCTCAACCACTTTGGTACTTTAGTGAGGGACAGGCTTCATGCATGCGTTTGCGAACGGAATCCTTTTGTTTTTCCGTTTGTGTGTAACGCTTATGGTATTCCTGTCTACGCTATTTGGCTTTTTCAGCCTCGGAAAGTTTAAGCCTTGGCATCGTTTTTTTCTCGCTTCAACTCTAACTTTTGAGGCAGCGTCAATAAGTTTGGACCCTCTTTATTTGTGATATTCCCCACTGAATTAGTACTGAAAACGATCCAATTTGAACTGTAGGTTAGAATTTCTGATTCTTAATTAGAACAATAAAAACAAAAATACAGTTCAAATGATGAAATTCTCTTTTATTCACAACTCAAGAAGTATTTACGGGATCTCTTTGGTCCCATATCTTAAAATTAAACTCACCAACTTAATGCATAACAAAATTAAAAGTGAAAAAAAGAATTCTAAAAAAATTATCAAACAACACCGGTCGCCATAGCAACCCATGCAATGACGACGCATGCGCACTGTTTACTTTTACTCTTAATTATTGTACTTGAAAAATGTGAGAACGTCATCAAATCCAAACTAAGACCCATTTTGCCAATGGGTAGGGGGGAAAAGAAGAAAAAAAAAGAAAGAAGACTGCCAAACTTTTAATTTGTTTAAAAAAAAAGTAGAAGACTGCGACTTTAATTCTTTTTAAAAAAAAGTAGAAAAATGTCAACTAAATTAAAATAAAAGTAGAAGACTGCCACTTTATTTTTTTTTTTTAAAAAGTAGAAAAATGTCAACTAAATTAAAATAAAAGTAGAAGACTGCCACTTTAATTTTAAAAAAAAAGTAAAAAAGGGGGGGAGGAAACGGAAATATGCGGTATAAATATGTATATCATTAACTTATGCTTTTAAAGAGTTTTACGACTACCACGGAAAAAAAACTCTTGTCATTTATAAAAGAGCTGATAAGCATGATGTGATGTTTTAAGTGCGGATGACATTTCATGAACATTTGCTTACTTAAATGTTATTAAATTAATACTTCAAGTAGTGTGACGAGGTAGAACTTCCGTGATGGTAAATCTAGGTGTGGGAAAAACAGTATGTGTACACATACGAGATTTTACAAAGTAAAATTTACTTATTATCAAATTTTCAACTTACAGAACAGAACAGTATGCAAAAAGAAGTGAGACGTACTTTTCAAAGTCTTTTGATGGTATTGATAGAGAATGTTTGTGGCATATCTTGAGATTCTATGGCGTCCTGAACAAGATTCTTAATATAATTGAAGATATGTATCGTGGGAAGTAGTGCAGAAATACTTGTGAATGGGGTGTTGATCGAGAAATTTGAAATTAAAACTGAAGTCAGACTTAGTGGAGTCATAAGTAGCTGCCCTTTCTGGATCGCCACTTATCATAGTCATAGACTGGGTTTCAAGAACCACAATGAAAGCCGGAATTAATGGGACTTCAATGGGAAGCCATATAATGGGACTTCAATGGGAAGCCATATAATGGGACTTCAATAGTTTCCTTGAGGACTTGGAATGTCGTCAAGACTTAAGAACCTTCAAGAAGAAACTAAAATCCTTGCAACAGTTGGCTAGGGATAGAGCGTTCGCCTTCCAATGACGTGAACCGGGTTCGAATCCCAGGGATGGCTGGTTGATACGATTCCCACACCCGGCTCGCAACGACTACAATAATGACGTAAAATATTCTCAGTGGTAGACAGATCATGGGTTAGAGTCCTCTAGCAGTCTGCCTAGCCGTGGGAGGTCTTCGTGGTTTTCCTCTCCATTTAACGCAACTCTGATTGGCAAATTTAATTAACTCAACATTTTACAATACAAATTAAAGCAAGAAATATTGTAAGGTAAAAACAGTATTTTTAAAAGATTTCAGATACATATATATACATAACCTCCATTAGACCATTTATAATGATCACTTTTAGCTTAAAAAAGCTTATTTTCCGGCGCAAAGAATTCATTTGTAAATGAAATTGAAATAATGCATTTCTCACAAAACTGATTACTTTTGAAGAATATTTCGAAAGAATTGATATTAGCAAAATATGAGCAGTTTTGATCATCTACGTGGTTGATGACTATTTTTTGATTAAACAGACATGGTAGGATGGTTCCTGACAGTTAATGAGCATGTTTACACTGATAATTAAATAAGATAAGCGTTCGGCTCATTGGCGACAGCTGCATAACACTTTGCATCGTTAAGGTTTAACATAACTAAATTTAAAGACAGGTAGTTACGGCAAAGTGAGCAAATGTTAACATGAAAACTGGGACATAAAATAAAAAAACTGAGTAGATTTATTCTTCACAACAACTAAGTAACACATTTTATTTTGTTGAAACGTGGCAATGTCAAAGTTAAAGGCAAGTAGTTAAAACTAAGAAAGCTATATATCCTATTTTAATATCAGGGATGAGATTGGTCAAAATGCAAAAGCTGAATTTTTACACGAGTAAATCTTACGTGATTTATAGCTAAAATATCAGCAACATATTCTCATCCAGTTTTGCTAATGTTGTAATTAATGCCTATAGATAGCAATAATCGTCGATAGAAAAACTGCCACATTTATATAGTAACTAATTCAAGAAAAAAACTTACTTTTCACAAGAATCGTGATAAAAGATTTCAAAATCGCGTGAATACAAATAGCAATCTTGGATTTTAAAATCGCGTGAATATAAATCACGATATTGAAATCACGTGAATGAAACTCGATATTGGATTTCAAAAATGTGAAAATACAAATCATGATGCGTAATTTTCAGATCACGTAAATGCTAGAGCCCCTGAATTAGACAGGCCGACTCATCATCTATTTTTGCTCCAAAGAGCTAACATAAGCACAATACTAACATAATGTTAACTTGTGAACTTTTTTGCTCCAATATTGCTTGATAGGTCAGCTCTGATAGTATAGGAGCCTTAGTAAATGCGAATTACGATGCATTATTTCCAAATGGCGTGAATACGAATCCAAAGCCTAATTTTTTAAATCACCTGTAAATGCAAAAGTGGATGTTGGATATTACAATCGCAAAAACGAATCACGACTTTGGATAAGCTTGCGTGAATACGATTCGTTACATAGAATTTTGAAAACGCCTCATTACAAATGAAGCTATATATCCAATTTTAAGCATCCACGCGCATTATTGAAAACTCGAATATATCAGCATAAAATGGGGGAAATGAACAGGTCATAATAGGAAGTGAAAATTACCACTACAAAGAAATTACCAAAGTTGATAAAAGGGAATTAACATTCACAGATGGCAACAAATTTAATATTAAAATTTGTACTTACAAGAGCTGTGCGTAGAACCAAAACTGTCGGTGGAAGACGCTGAATGAGAACGGCTACGGTTTTGATTTCGGAATCTGGCTCGGCCCACAACTCCACCCTCCTGCAAACAAGAGAGACGAGAACGATGAGCACCATTTTTAACAACTGGAGGTTGCTTGTTCATTGTTTCCTTCATTGTGATATATCTATTTTACAATACACCAAAGTAAAATGAGAACAAGATTCACTGTGTCACCAAATTTACAAGAGCTTTTTGTTGCTGTTACAAACCTTTCCTCACTTGCCGGAGTTCTAAATCGTTTTTATTGTCAGTAATAGAGTGTTTTTTTTTTCGCTGTGCCACAAAACTTACAAGAAATTCTATTAGGTAGAAACAAATTTTTTCTTCTTGGTAAATTGCTGCACTGATAAAAGGCTAGGGTCAATAATAGTGAATTTTGTCACAGATCATAGAAGTTTGACAATTCCGAAAAAAATATAAATATTAAATTCACTTTGTAATAAAGCCTTAATGATGGTAAGCATGAAGAATAAATTTTAATTTTAAGAGAAAATAGTCGATGCGAAGAACCTGAATCGAACTAAACTAAACAGCTTTTTAAAACGAGAGCAAAGCAAGTCTCAAATTCAAATTTCACTAGTCGTAAAAATCAAATATAGTTCTATCAACTAGCAACAATCTAATTCAGTCCTTCAGCTTCAGACTATTTACTCAGTGAAGAAAAGCGCTAAATCGATTTCATACAGCTAAAAACACACATAAAAATCCAGTATCACGCCAAAACTGCAAATAAATTTTAAAATTTAAAACATTAACTCCAACACACATTGGCAACACCGACCAAATCGTCTGCAACACTTAAAACTAAACTGTCTCCACAGAACTATAATGCAACAGTACCACAGACGTATCACGTGCAATTCACCTGAGAACACAAAGGGAGTAAATCATATGACCTTGCGCAAAATGATTCTGAAACAGTTCCTAGCAAAAAGGGTGATTCCAAACTTTATTTAGGAACAATTCTTTCCAGACCCTGAGAGAAAAGGTTAAGGTAGATTATTGGCACCCTTAGCCGGAATCGAAATTTCTTGGCAAGGTGCGGATTTGGCACTAGAGCCCTACAAGCCCATGACCCCGTGGAATACATTGTTTATTTAGGAATGGGAATACATGATGCTTGATGATCCTTAAATTTATTCCTTTGTTAGAAGGGTTCGTCGACCAGGTCAACATGCTGTCAGGAAATTGGATCAGGACGATCAAAAAAATTTTATGTACTGAGGGAAATACAAACAAATAAGAAAAAAAATGGCTACATAAAAAAAGAAAATTGTAAATAAAAATAAAAGCGTGTTTAAGATAAGAGCAGCCCAAAAAACACTAAACATTATTTATTATTCTCTACTGCTATAACGATGGTAATTGCTCGATTAATTACAATTTTTAAAATTTGATAGAATTCAAACATAAAGCACTCTCAAAAGTTTTAGTTATAAATAGTCTAATAGTTTACTTAAAAACGTCCTAAAATAGCTTAAACTTTAATCAATTACATAAAGCACTCTCAAAAGCTTCATTCTTAAATAGTCTAATAGTTCACTTAAAAACGTCCCAAAATAGCTTCTAAACTTAATTCTATTACATAAAGCACTCTCAAAAGCTTCATTTTTAAATAGTCCAATAGTTCACTTAAAAACGTCCCAAAATAGCTTCTAAACTTAATTCTATTACATAAAGCACTCTCAAAAGCTTTATTTTTATATAGTCTAAGTTCACTTAAAAACGTCCTAAAATAGCTTAAACTTAATTCAATTACATGATATAATTTGGATAATCAATGTTTCTGTTCCCCTTAAGTATGGCTGTGAAAAATTTCTTAAGTTAATTTTAATACCAAGTTCTTATTTACTGGCATTTGCCATCTGTTCACCGAATAGCTACAAATCTTTGCTATTAGAGCTCCTCCATGCCTGATGACAAAGCTGGCTGGTTTCAATTGTTTCCTGAAAGCCAGAAGCAGAATTTATCGCCGAATAAAATGTGACGTCATTCGAAATTTTTCAATCTACACCAGGGCGCGAAATTTTCTCTCACCAGCTCGAAATTCGCGTTTAAATATTCAAGACTGGCGAGTAAATTTTATCTAAAAAGTTGATTCTTAAATTAAGCTGCATAAGCTTATATAGTATAGTTACCTAGTTAAACTACGTAGATTACTGTGCCTCAATACAACGACACCAGGAAGTGTTTTGAAATCTAGCAACGGTATTTTTCTTTTATTTCAAACAAATAATGTTGAGTTACACACTTTTCATTCACGAAACCATTGTTTTCAAAACATTGAAAACTTAGGACAATCCAATGTTGTTTTATTACTAGTATGGTTTAGTATTGTAAATTAATCTTATAAACTTGTATCACCAATGAAAATCCATCCCCTCTTCAAGAGCGTGTTTCGAAAGTTATGTGCCCTTATTTTTTTGTTTCATATCTGACAGTTAAAAAATATTTTCTTCCTTTTAGTCGTAATTTTTTTTTTCATATTTCATTATTTACTACAATATTTAACACATTTGAATGCAAGAGTTAAAGCTTATAATAATAGAAAAAATGAAGTCCTCCTCTAACATGTAGCTATTTACAGATCAAAAAAAAATTATATGTAGAAGTTTTTATAACATTGTAAAACACGACATAAAATGTTCATTATACATTCATAACTAACAGGGAATATTCGCAATGTGTAAAGTAATATTTTATGAAAAACAATTTTTGTTTGAAATCTAAGCACGCATTTACCTGGAATAAACATACTCAAAGAAGCGAAAGCATCAGGAACATTTGGAATTTCTCTTACAACAGTGGAATATTGTAAAAAGCTTAGAATTAGGTTTAAAAGAATAAAATAATATCGTTTGAATTCTACTCGTTGAAAACAGACTCACAGCTGCACGATCGCTATGGAAACGAAGTTTCCACTACCTGCGATTGTCCTGCCAACTTGTATAAGTGAAAATTATTTTGAAAGAGCAAGAAGAGATTAAATTTGTGTGAATTCAGAAAATGAATGAAATAGAAAGCTTGATACCTTTTAAGATATTCGTTTTCTTTTTCCTTACTCCTTTTGAAATAACTTTTATACACCTCCATGGAAGTCACAATTCATGTTACTTAAATAAATAGGTAGTTCACGCGGTTATAATTTATATACAAGACTAAGACAGATCTCAACAAAAGTAACTTTTTCGAAATCACAGTTAAAAAGGAACAAAGCTAATTATAATTGAAAAATAACTCTTTTCTTTGGTGTGTGTTTGGCATATCTATTTCTTGTTCACAAGTTTCTATTTGGCGTAATCTTCAAATCCCCAATACTCATATGAGCTGTTGGCATCTTACCATGAGCACTATTATCGTTTCAATATACTACTACCAAAATAAAGGCTTTCTATATATTTGACTACAACTGCCGGTGAATAGCGTCCAGAAATGTCATATTCATGTTTCTCAGTGCGTACATTGCGTACCTTACCGCTTCTGGTAATGGACGCAACTCACCATTTTCTAACTAATTGTTGACAAATACACTTGGAACCTTTTTTAACTTCTAAAACACTCAAAGATGGCCATTTAAAATCTTAAACCATCGAGATCTAAGCTATGTGTTAGCCTGGAAAAATAACTCAAGGGTCTGTCTAGGTTTTTCTGAAAGGTACCTATTTTGTGAAAATTTAGACGTAATTTGTGAAAATTGAAAATTATATTTTTAAAAAAAAACACAAAAATACGGATTTTTCATTTCTTATGGGATACAAAAATAAAATTTTAAGAAAAAGTATTTTGTGAAATACCGTTTTTCCTAAATTTGAACTTGTGAAAGTATCGCTAAACGGTAGTAAATTTGGCCTGGGCAGATCCCTGTAACTTCAATGGTGAACAGTTAAATAATATCTTTCAGGGAGAAATTTCGAATTTTTTTTTTCCCCCTTCTCAAAAATTTTACTTTTAACATTCTTTTTCACTTAGCTCTTTCAAATAGTGCAATTTTTGTGAACAATTAGCTCAATATGCAAAAACTAATACCATGTTTTTTTTAATGTAAAAACAGTTTTAGAATAACATTTTTCAGCACAGTTCCTAAAAATAGAAGAAATTATATTGGTACTGAGTCCTGCCTTTTTTCCAGGAGTATTTTTGAATTAAAAAATAAATTAACTAAACCAGAAAGATAATTATTACTTTTCAAAAATAACGCTAATTTAGAAATAGTAAAATGTAAAACAAGTTTAATGCAGCCTAAATTTTAAAGAAATCAACAATAACACAAAAACTAACTTTGGCCCATAGATTTGGGTGCCGATTTCAGCAATCGATTACGAATGTATTTGATTACAGGTAATGATTACTATTTAATTAAACGTTATCATTCTTATAAGTCATATAAAAAACGATTAGAAGCAGTAAAGATTAGAGGCAATTATAATCTAAAAATTGCAAGGAAATGTGAGTACAAGTATTAATGTATACGATTAAAGTGATCAGACATTCAAATGATTTCATCACATTGTAGTCGGAATAATTAAATAATAATATTTCATCATGTGAAGATCTGACCTAATATTAATTGCATAAATTCTCTCTTTAGATACATAAATTTCGATTTTTACTGATAATTTATTTAATCGCACGAACAATTTTAAAAGGCAAAAATAAAAAGTTAAAAAAGATTTAAAGGGGGTGGGGGGTGGAATTGTATACAAACTAAACTTTTATTACTAGACGAAATACTAATAAAATTAAGAAAAATAATTTTTTTTTTCAGAAAAAATTATAAATTTTCTTTAAAAGAAATTCAAATTTTTTTTTTCAAATAAAAAATCAAAATTATTATGAAAAATTATTTTTAAAAAAAACTATATGTTTAAAAAAAATATCGATATTTTTTTACAGTGTTTTTCGCATTTTATTTAAAATAATAAAATTGCATAAAAACTTCATTATCAAACGTAAATAATTATCAGGGGTCTGTCCACACCGAATTTACTACCGTTTAGCGGTACCTTCACAAATTCAACTTTAGGAAAAACGGTAGTTTC